GAGAGTATATTGGACATGTCCAGAGGATGGACAGAGGGTATATTGGACATGTCCAGAGGATGGACAGGGGGTATATTGGACATGTCCAGAGGAAGGACAGAGGGTATATTGGTCATGTCCAGAGGAAGGACAGAGGGTATATTGGACATGTCCAGAGGAAGGACAGGGGGTATATTGGACATGTCCAGAGGAAGGACAGGGGGTATATTGGACATGTCCAGAGGATGGACAGAGAGTATATTGGACATGTCCAGAGGAAGGACAGGGGGTATACTGTATTGGTAGAAGGATGTTGGACCTGCAGCTGTCAGGACAAAGATAAGACTCTGTGTATGATGCAGTTAAATAAGACATGGAGGTACAGTAGTTGGAATGAGGACAGAGGATCAGAGGACGATGTGTCGACTCCTGCAGAGGGAATAACAGCTGAAGAAGAAGTTACCTGCAACACAGATCCCATAATGGAGGCAATGTAGGCCATGGCCAGACACAGCAGACCGTAGGCCAACGCTGTGAAGTTTAGGACAAAAACAGAAAACTCACGTCCAGCATCCAATGTAAACAAAACAAGTGCACTAAATCAGACTTTAGACTAAGGTAGTAAACACAACAAAATAATTATCTTTCACATCTTTCCAAACATTTGCTCTTATAAAGGACGTGTCTTACCCAGGCCTTTGGACAGAAGTGTGGCCTTTGTTTCAGCCATATTTGGAAAATGAGGTTTAATCAGGTCTTCCATCGTTACTGTTGCTAACGAGTTAAAAGCTGATGAGATGGTGCTGCGAGAAGGAACAAAAGACCGAGTGAGAGTTTGATTGGTCTTTCAAGACACATCAGGGAGGCTGCAGTGATCAGCATTCAGGACAAAAATGCACTATTTCATTATTTTTTCACAGAAGTTCCAGTTTGTAAAGAGATGGACACTGAATTACTGAAACAACAAATACATGCTTGAGACATCAACTTTTGTAATAAATCTAAATACATTTTTGAAAGATAATGTCACAAATTGCAAAATAAAAACATTCACGACTCAGTTCTTGAGATATTCACATGTGCAGTAACAGGAAGTGATGTCAAAGGGGAATGTCTAAATGTGAACAGAGCTTTGCTACAATACCTAACAACAGACTGTAGAGAAGAATCTGAGGTTTCTTTACATCATTTGGAGTCATATCAGAGAAGCTGTGTTTCCATTCACCATGAAAATACACAAATTAGAGTTTCGAAAATAAATTTACTCAATGGAAACAGTTTTTTCACATCACAGGAGTCACGTGATCAACAACCGTCTGTTTCTACTGGTGAAAAAGACGATGATGAAGAAGATAACAGGAAGTAGAAGTAGTAGTAATATCACAGAAGTAGTATAAAATAGTAAACTCAGCGACTACAATTTGCCAAAAACACAGCATACGTAGCCGCTCCCAAGTAGGGACTTGTCTCTGGAAAGCCTCGATAAAAGACGCCGACGTCTCCTCTGATGATGAGCGCTAGTGTCGTGGTAGCAACATGCTATGTGTTTACATCCATCGCTGCCATGTTTGTAATGACTTATCATGAGAACAAACGTATTCACGTGACTTTAATAACATTTATTACTTCATGGAAACACTGCAGCTGTGAAACTATGTTTTTTCGACATTAACAGAATATCGACACAGTTTTGTGTACATTTACAAATATAAACGCAGCTAGTGATGAAGAGAGTTCAAATAATATTGTTTTAATAAAGAAAGACTAAAGAGACCCTAACCCTTTACTTAAAGAGTTCCCCTTTGATGTCACTTCCTGTTTGACTTTGATCCAAGTTAAAAAAACATGCCAGTTATGTGACACAGTGGGTAAAATCATGAGCATTATGCCAAGTTTCTTTAATATAAAGATGTTTTATTTTACTGTCTGTATTTAAAGTATATTCATGTCACAGGCACTTTAAAACCTGGGAAAATTCAGATTTAGTATTTGGCATGCAAAACCTTAGAATTAAAGGAAGTGCTTTTACAATACTTTTACAGTTGAATGATGCATAAAATATTACAACTTAAACCAAAACAGTTTAAAAATACTGATTCATTGATCTAAAGAAGTTATAACAGATTGGTATGATCAGGTACTTTAAAGTCAGACTTTAAATAACCTGAGGTTTAACCACTTGTTTGTTGTTGACAGCAGTACAGAGGCTCAGTGGACCTTTCCCTCACAGTCCGAGTTCAGGGATCATTTACCTGAGCGCTCCACTGAAGAGACAGGCCACAAACAGTCCTGGGAGGCCAGGAAGGTTTTGGAATACATCCATTACAAAGTACAACACCATCTGCACAGAGGAACTCAGCATCAAAGGAGCTCGTCCTTCTCTTCGTGGTGCTTCAACCGGACATCTCCGAGGCTCACCTGGTCATTGCTTTGGACGTAGCCTTGGTCCAAAGGGCTGTTCTCTCCGTAAAGAGCAAACATAACTAGACCCATCAGACAACCCATACAAAGGACAATCTGCTGGCATGGAAAAACTACGTAGCAGGACCTGAGAAGACATGATGTTTGTCAGGAGCTTTCCACTTCTTACACCATTGTTTGCTTTATTTACCAGCAGAGGAAACCAAGAATGTGGTGAAAATGTGTGCTCACATGACAGCTTCCTTCTCAGTGCGAGAGCTGAGGTACCTCTGGACCTGAGCTTGATTGACCCCATACAGAGCCAACATGAGGAAGACCCCTCCAACACCCAGAGTCCAAAAGGTGTGTCGCTGCAAAGGGTCTGGGTTCAGACTACAGAGAAAGAGGGGAAAGGTTACGCTACTTCTGAAATTATGGTCCTGAAAAATACAAGTTTCTCTGACCTTTCCTTGTTTACAGTACATTAATACAACATATGCTCATACTGTATTTACACTCACTAATGAAAAAGTTTAAAAAACAAATAAAGTAGTGGGAACAAAATGAAACAGCATGAGCTGAAAGATCATGCCTGTTACTGCAGTGATTTCAACATCAAACCAAACAGATAACAGAATCGGCAGGAGGGGCACCACTGATCCCAGTCTGCAGGGTACACGGGTTCAACAGAGTACTGATACAGTGAAATACTGTGATATTTCAAAAAGAAACAATCAGTAGTTCCTCTGGATGGTTCTTCTTTAGTGAAACGTTTCGTCTCTCCTCCAAGAGACTTCTTCAGTCTGAGAGTTTCAGGTGAACTCAAACTTATAAGCTCCGCCTCCACATGGACAAACAGGTTAGTCACATGCAAAAGAGGACCATCGACTAACAATAGCCTTGATTAGCTCTATTGTTCATAGAGGGTCATGTGACCCATCACCTGACTTATTGGTTTGGATGCTGTGGTTCTCAGGTGTTGTGTCATGTGAATGTAGTGAATGCAGGCGGGGCTCAAAGTCCCCTTGTTTTTGACCCTCTTTCCCTCTTTGTGTTGGTATCATTGGGGTCCTGATTCAATGATACCAACACAAAGAGGGAAAGAGGGACAAAAACAGTGGGACTTTGAGCCCCGCCTGCACTCACTACATACACATGACACAACACCTGAGAACCACAGCATCCAAACCAATAAGTCAGGTGATGGGTCACATGACCCTCTATGAACAATAGAGCTAATCAAGGCTATTATTAGGTGATGGTCCTCTTTTGCATGTGACTAACCTGTTTGTCCATGTGGAGGCGGAGCTTATAAGTTTGAGTTCACCTGAAACTCATCAGACTGAAGAAGTCTGTTGGAGGAGAGATGAAACGTTTCACTAAAGAAGAACCATCCAGAGGACCTACGGATTTTTTCTGTTTGATTTTCTCTACCTGGATTACTGAGATGCATCAGGACATACAGATATTTTATTTCCAGATCCTGTACCGACTTTCTAGTTCATTCTTCTACGTAAATTTCGTAAACTTCCATGAATTTTGTAGCTGTTCAGTAGTTGTGGTTTTCCCAAAACTTTTTTTCCACGTATGTAAATTTCATAAACTTCCGCAAGTGGAGTGTGTGTGTGTGTGTGTGTGTGTGTGGTCCATCATATTAATTTAAAATGGTCTCCAAACAATATCATTGTATATCGCAATGATTTCTGGGACATTTTATGCACTCACTCTAGTCCAGCAATGCGGCTGCCATTGACCGCTTTCTTCCAGACCTCGGATATCCCTCCAGCTTGATTGGCCCCTACAACGATGACAGCCAGCTGGCCTGCAAACATCACCACTGTCTGGAACACATCGGTCCAGATCACTGCCTTCAGGCCACCCTGGGAGACAGCAACACAATGACTGAGCACTTTAAAGTTCAGAAAGATAAATAAAAAATAACTACTCAACTGTAATAAATTCAACTCAGATATACATATTTGGATGTGAGGGTTTACCCCCAAACTACTTAAATACTGCTCCTGAATTCATCTTTTACTTTACAGAACTGTTTGTAGATAACAAATACATTACCAACGTCAATAATTCAAACATAATGTGAGTGTGAAAACTGTAGCAACTTACCAGAGCAGTATACAAAGTACACACTAATCCCATGGCAAACACTGCCCCCCACAGGTCAAAGCCTGTCACTGCAAGTCAAAAATACTGTCAAACACTGAACAGCTGTTAAACAATATATAAAAAACAATAATAGATCTGTTATAAGTGTACAATGTGATGTTAAGATCCAACCTGTAACACATTGTGTTGAAGTCTAACTCACCTGCATTCAGAGCCAGTGCTGGAGCGTACAGGACCACCCCCATATAAATGACCTGCAGAGGGAGGAAACAGCACTTCAGCACAGGCCAACTCAAACAAACATCACCACGGCTGAAAGGTGTAGTTTTATAAAGCTTCACAAGCTTCAAATGATCATCAAAGATATTTAAAGTCCTATCGTTCCTTCTTATGTCAGAGGTTCTCACTACGATCACACTGTCAAAAAAACAGATTTAGAAAAAACATTTTGCACAATCTTGTGAGATGAAGATGTGCCACGTGATCTCGTTTGATCTATTATTTTAAAGATAATCAGTGAAAGATCCTTTGATATCCATCCAGTGGTTCATGCTAACAAACAAGTGATGCAAAGATTTTAAAAGCAGTTTCTGCTACACCAAATTTAAGCTTAATCTCTGTAAAATAAATCTGAGTGGTGCAGATCCATGGCTTACTGCTGAGATGCTAATTAAACCCACAGAGATTCATGAGGTATTTTGTTCATGGAACAAACACACTCGCACACGAAAACAAGTTCTCCTTCACCTTTGGGACAAACCGATAACTGTTGTTTATTTTTTACAACTCCATACTTGTCCCTTCAGAAATTAACAGCAGCTGGTGACAGAAGAGATTGTGACTTCAGGATATTTGAATTGCTAAAAAAAAAACCAACTGATCTTTTGTAGTATACATCTGTATGTTTTCTACAAAGAAAAATCCATGTCTTTACTTTCCTTTATTTCTGAGCTGAAATGTGAACAGATGCTGACTGTATAACAAAAGGGGAAAAAATGAAAACAAGTTGCTCTTCTGTTTGTAGCTGACTATATAAAAATAATTTAAAAGGCTGTGGTCACCTTTAAAAAGAAGTTGTTCGAAGTTTTCTTTGCATAAAAGTGTTGTTTTTCAACAACACAAAGTTAGAGTGACAATGAAGAAGGAAAAACACTGAATGTCACATTTCTAATGGATCATTGGCTCAGAGATTACCGTATTTATTCATGTATAATACAATCTCATGTATAATACAACCTCATGTATAATACGATCTCATGTATAATACGATCTCATGTATAATACGATCTCATGTATAATACAACCTCATGTATAATACAACCTCATGTGTAATACGATCTCATGTATAATACAATCTCATGTATAATACAACCTCATGTGTAATACGATCTCAAGTATAATACGATCTCATGTATAATATGACCTCATGTATAATACGATCTCATGTATAATATGATCTCATGTATAATACGATCTCATGTATAATACGACCTCATGTATAATACAACCTCATGTATAATACAACCTCATGTAAAATACAACCTCATGTATATTACGACCTCATGTATAATATGATCTCATGTATAATACGACCTCATGTATAATACAACCTCATGTATAATACAACCTCATGTGTAATACAACCTCATGTATAATACGATCTCATGTATAATATGATCTCATGTATAAAACGACCTCATGTATAATACAATCTCATGTATAATACAATCTCATGTATAATACGATCTCACATATAATACGATCTCACGTATAATGTCATCTCACGTATAATATCATCTCACGTATAATATCTCATGTATAATACGACCTCATGTATAATACGACCTCATGTATATTACGACCTCATGTATAATACGACCTCATGTTTAATACAATCTCATGTATAATACGATCTCA